TGGCTTCTTACTAATTAGATTTCTAACTAACAAATTTTCTTACTACACTAACAAGTCTAATTGTCTAGACTGATTTCTAATAACTTATTTCTTTTGTCTTTGCCATGATGACAGTAAATATTATTTGACTAGATGTTTTTCAAGACACTTCTACACAGCTTAAAGTGACATTTAAAGGCCTAACTAGGTTAATTAGGCAAGTGGGGGCTAATAGTATTGAACTTAAAATGGTTTTAAAATAGTTAGAAACTGCTTTTATTCTAGCCAAAATAAAACAAATAAGACTTTCTCCAGAAGAAAAATATGATAGGAAATACTGTGAAAATTTCTTGCTCTGCTAAACATCGTTTGGGAAATATTTGGAGGGCGAATAATTGGGGATTTTGCATCTCCAAAAGACTTGATCAGCTTTGGATTAAAAGCTTCTTGAATCCTGTGTTGTAACTGGTTTGCATGCTGTAATAAATGGTTTCAGACATACTTTACTGTTTTCTCCAGTTCATTGTCTCACTAGTTAAATATTAAACAGTGTACTGGGAAGTTTTAACAGCATGAACTTTCTCTTCCGTCTCTTGTAGTGAAACATTAACAGAGCAGAGAAGCGTTTGACAGCCGCAGTGGCGTTTAGTTGTGGAATTTCATAGAAAGTTCTGAAAACCAATGCAGTTTTGTGACTTTGTTGAGCGTTGATTATTTTATAAAGGGTACCTATTATGCACTTTTAAACACCGTTTTGTGGAAGACGTCTGTGAATATAGCCAGCTTCTAATGGTCAAAATTAACTATATTTTTTATGATCACAATTGATAGAAACAGCCTGCAGAAACACTTTTTCACATTCGCTCTTTGTACGTGTCATCAGAGCCTACCTGTCAACCCTGTTTTTTATTTTTTTTGGGATTTCCCCTATATTCTATCTCACTATCATCCCCTAAAGATATTTTCCCTTTTTTTTTTTCCCTCCCATATTTTTAATATTTCTATGAAGGGTGGCAATATACATAAGAGCCGATCCTCCCTATACGCAACCCATACCACCAAACCACTAGGGGACGCTCCTTGCTCTTAAATGTGAATCTGTTCTGTGCTTTAATTTTTGTTTAGGCATGAAAACATTTTGAAATGAATATAAAAATGGCGGGATTCCCTTCCTTTCCATTACAGGAGTTGTTGCCCTTACAACGCAAAATGGATTATCCCTTATTTTCACTTCACACGGTTGACAGATATGCATCAAAGGAGGAAAGCCCCGCCCATTAATGACCATCTGTCTCTCATTAACATATCACATTAGTCTTGTTTTTGAATCTGCCACTATGCTGACATGTAGGCATTTATAGCTCCGCCTTCTTTTGAGAAGAGTACAATCTTATTTGAATTTAAAGTGACAGTCACCAAAACAACACAAACAGGATCGGGCAGTTTCAAAGAGTTATTGAACTTTATTTGTGTGGTATTTTGAGTTGAAACTTTACATACACACTGTAGCTCCCTGGTTCAATAAAGGATTGACTCTTTCACTGGTGTTTTCCCATGATTTATTTTCAGTGCAGCATTGCACAGCAGTGCAGTCATCTACATCAAACACCTTACACCGTAGGCTAAACACCTTGCACCATACACCGAACACCTTGCACCATACGGCAAACACCGTAAGAGCTTGTATACAAAGAGAAAATGAAACCACATATAAGCAAATATGAAAACCGTATACAAACAAACAGACATCACTTAAGCTCAATATACAAACTCAATACAAACAAACAAACATATTAAACGAAGTGTTAGTACCTTGTTCTCCAATCAAACCAGAAGCTAAACCTTTAGTCCGTAGCAGACCGCACAGCTGAGTCGCCGTGATCATGTGCGATCTTTCTGTGTGTCTGTTTTTATCCGTAATGGTAATTAATTCAAAATAAAAGACTTCCGCTTTTACTGAACACTTCGTAACATAAATACCAAAAATATCAAATATACATATAATAAAGGAGAAAGAGAGAGAGAAAAAAGTATATACACAATATAAACATATTATAGAAAAGATGCAATAACATAGACACCATGTCAAAGTTATTAACACACGCTCTAGAAACATTAAGAGACTTATTTTGTATGTTGTAAAAAGAGGGCATAATAGGTCCCCTTTAAATGGACAGTGTCGAGTTTTGTCATTTCCAGTCATTTCTCATCAGTTCTATTGTTAAACACTGTTTCACTGGTTTGTCTTTTTGTCTGATTTGTAATGCTGTGATACTCCTCCTCGCACAAAGACAGGCAAGTTCAGACTTGATTAATTAAAACACTCCTTTTTTTAATTGTTGTTTTTTTTAGTAACACCCAGACCTTGTTCAGCTTGTTCGGGTGTGTTTGGATAAGGTGTAATCAAAACTCTCCATGGCCATCCCTGTCCTAGCAGGTTTGAAATTGTTCAAGGCTTTGTTGATGGTTTAACCAAGACTTTTTAAAAATCTCTATGGGAAAATGAATTGGAAAAATACTCTTGGATGCCTGAAGAACTGTGCCAATATTAAAAAAATATTCAAAGTAAGGGAGAAGCTTAGCATGCATTTCAATATAATTATGCAAATATGTTTTTTTAGACATTCTCTGAGATGCCCAGTGTGATCTGATTCACTGAAATGATTCACACTTGTATTCTGAACATCTAATGTTTAAATGAGGAGACTGAAAACAATGGTGAGGAAGATACTCAGGAGTCATGAGACGAGCATGAGACTGGTCTGATGATGCACTGTTTAGGAAACTAGAAATTCTCCTTTCTGTTACATTTATATCTCTATATCTATTTATAAAAAAAAAAGTATATGTGTGTGTGTGTGTGTGTGTATGTATGCATTAGGGTTGTAACGGTATGAATTTTTCACGGTATGATAATCGTCTAAAACAATACCACGGTTTGACGGTTTCGCGGTATACGGTATGTTACAAAATAATAGAACAGTGAAGCAAATTTGACTTTTTCCAAATAATATATTTTTAGTTACTATAAACAACACCACTTACAATGAACAAATAAAAATAAGAAAATAATAAATAATGTGTCAAAGTCCAAATAAAGTCCAAATAAACATGGTGCAAATCCTCAGTAAAAAATAGATATAAATATTTACTATACTATAAATAGTTACATAACGAAACTAGATTTAATATGGAACATCCCTAGGTTTTATGTGCCAGCATGGATATGGTTGTCTATGGATATGGATATGGTTGTCTGCAATGCAGACAAACAGCTGCATCTTCATTTGCGTCTTTTGAAAACAGCAAGAGCAGCAGTTTGTCTTTGCTGTGTCACTGTTTTGTCATGTTTCTGTGCTGCTGTGCATGCAAAAGTACTTAGTATGAGAATTATTTCATGCAAAACTTTTTTTTTTTGCGTTTTATTTAGCCGCGCATAAATGTATGCCTTTCTCTCATTCCGTGTTGTTCAAAAAGCTTGGTCCACAAACAAAAGTGAAACCTATGCTTATTGGTTGTGATATTGCGAGTTTGAACCAATCTGGGCATGGAGGAGGGACAATGCATCAATGTATCATGTCTGATTTGTCCGGAGACACAGTGACGAGCGTTTCTTTGTCAAATCAGCGTTGTCAAATGTTGATGACGTAACCGCACTGATTCCGGAGCCTCTGAAAGTCCGCGAATGTTATGTGATACAGCACTGGAAAGCTGAGGTTCTCTTCTTTATGCCAATCTTTGAATTGTATGAATCGGATCAGCGGATCAAAAGTTATTAAACATTTAAGAGCAATACTTATTTTTAGCCGCGGGCGGCTGTCTCGGTCTTTAAGGGTTAAAACCGTTGATATGCAATTGTTCATGGTATGATAATCGTGCACGTTCAAATCGTGGTAAACCGTCATACCGGTATATTGTTACAACCCTAGTATGCATATATATATGTGTGTGTGTGTGTGTGTGTGTGTGTGTGTGTGTGTGTGTGTGTGTGTGTGTTTATATATGTATATATATATATATATATGTGTATATATATGTATATATGTATATATATATATATATATATATATATATATATATATATATATATATATATATATATATATATATAGTTGTATTTATCTAGTAAATTACATGCAAATAAATTGTCTTCTTTAATGTACTTTTTTGATGAAATAGTTCCAATGACATTAAGCATATGAAAAAAGTTAAAACATATTCATTCTGAGTTATATAAAATTATTGTATGTTAATTATGTTACATATTTGAAGCAATTAAAATCATCTGAAAAATGGGTAAAACCTAGTGGTTTGTGGGAGAATGTAAAATATAAAGCTTTAAAATGATAGTTAATGAGTATTTAAGGGCAAAACTATGATATTTACAGTCTGTTAATGTCATCAATTGTTCTTAATCTGAATATGCCTGTTGATATTACACCGAATGGCATTGTAGTGGGTGTCTTTTAAAAATTGTTATTAAAACATATAACAGTCATTTATTTTTCACCACAAGAGGAAATAAGAATATAACCTGAACAAATGTAGTGAATGTATGGACAGTAACGCTGTATTGAATATGTACTATTTTGGTGACTGAAAACATTTACGCCCCATTCACACTTGGCTTCTCGTTCACTTTGAATGGGTGACATCAGGCATTGCCGAACTGCATTGTGGATCTGTCGGTGCTGCTTCAGTGGCGTTGCTTGCTGCAGAAGTTGAGACTTTCTCAACTTTTCAAGCACCGATGGAAGCATCAGCCAATCAGATCGCTGTATGCAAATACACCAGCTCAGAAAGTAGCTGATTGCTGGCTAATTTCATTGGCTGACGCTTGCTATGACAAACGTGCCAGCCCCAACTTCAGACACGCCCTCTGTCAAGCGTTGACACTAAACACTGTTAATTCACCATCAGTCTTCAACCGATAATTGTATTAACATTGTGTGTATGAGTCCATCTGAATCTGGATAAGAGTAAATATTGAAAGCCTTTTGTCTGTCTGTTTCTCTCTTCAGTATCTGACCAAGCAGGTGGATCTCCTGCGGCAGATGAACGACCAGCACGCCAAAGTGTACGAGCAGCTGGACTTGGCTGCTCGAGACCTGGAGAAGAGCAACCAGCGGCTGGTGCTGGAGAACCGCACGTCCCAGCACAGGATCCAGAGGTGAGGATCAGGCCAGTTCTGGCTGGTTTAAAAAATAAAATAAAAATAAATGACCCTCCCGTTCTTTATATCGTGCATGTCTCACTTGTTTAAAGTTGGCATGAAACAAAGTTAAAACTCAGCAGTTTCACAGCTGCTTATTTTAGAGAAGCAGTTCTCACAGCATCTGCAACTTTATTATTCTCCATCCGCAGCCTGACGGAGACCATCGATGGCCTGCAGGCTCATATGGAGAGCCTCCAGAAGCAGGTGGACGAGCTGAAGGCGTCCCAGTCCAGGAGGGATTTCACAGCGGCACGCCGAGCCCTCGGGGCCCAGAGCATGTCCTGCCTGAAGGAAATCTACGATCTGCAGCAAGACAAGTGAGTGTGGAGCCAAGAAACCACTATCATTCACATCATCATCATCACACACAGTCATACACTCATGTCTCGACGTGCCAAAGATTGACCTACTTTGAGCTGAAGTTCTTGCTTGTACTGAAAAAGTGGAGGTTGTGTCTGTTAGCTTTGAGCTCAAGATGTTGAGAAATATGGCTAAATGCACCCATGAAGTGACATTTATTTAAAGTATATCACTCTCTTTTACTAAAAGGGTCCCCCCAGGACAAGAAATCGGCTGAATGGATTTAAAAATGGTCAACTGTTTAGCTCTTGAAGACTTTTAAAATAACATATTTTAAAGAAGGCTAATTTTAAAAGTCTCCTAGAGCTAAACAGCTAATTTGAACCATTTTTTAATCGTTCAGCCGATTATTTAAATTTTATCATTGTTTTTTATTAGTTTTGTTTTGGCGGGGTCACTTTTGTTTTTAGCTTATCTTAGCATAATGAGTTAAATCAGATTGGACCATTAGCATTTTGTTAAAGGGTTGATCATTTTCCTATTTTAACCTTCTGTAGTTACATTGTGTAATAAAGTGCCTTAAAACCACAGAGATTTGAAAGACAACATGCTAATGGTCTAATCTGATTCAATTCATTATGCTAAGCTAAAAGTGACCAACAAATCAGTTGAATGGATTAAAAAGTGGTTAAAGTAAACCTTTAAAAAAAACCTGAAAAAATGAAGTGTTCATTTTAAGATCCTGTATTTTCCACAAGAAAACAGCTCGTCTCCAGAAAGCAGGTTGTTTTTCCTCCACTGGGGTCTGGGCTTTAATTACATTACCGCCACTGAGATAATTAAAGTGGACATGTCTCTCCATGATGTCCGGCTCATGGATGACCCCTGTGATCTGAGTATCAGCGTTCAGTCCTGCTGACTGGGCATCTCAAGGGCCTCCAAACCAGACATCATAATCTAACCTGACCCTTCTATTGTAATCCAGTAATCCTGCTGTAATCTGCACAGAGCAGGGAGAAAACAGTGCAGCGGAACGTTCATGAAGATACTTACCGGTTTCTTTGAATGCCAGTGAAAAGCTAATGACATATCCAACTGTATTTACTTTCAGAGATTAGAGAGGACTGTTTATCAGTGTTGAATAAAAAAAATAAATAAATAATTTTTGAATCCATTCAGCCCATAACTAGTTTTGGCTGGAGCATTTTAGCTTAGCTTAGCATAGCTCACTGAATCAGATTTGACCATTAGCATCTCGTTTTAAAAATAAGAATTGTTTAGGCTTATTTTAGCTAGCATGTTAATTAGCACTGTTGCAAACTTAAAAAGTTTTAGATTTTTGAATCCATTTAGCCGATCACTAGTTCTGACAGGAGCCAGTTTAGCTTGGCTTAGCATAAATAGTTAAATTGGATTAGACCGTTAGCATCTCACTTTAAAAATGAGAATTGTTTATGCTTATTTCAGCTAGCATGTTAATTAGTGCTGTTGCAAATAAAAAGTTTTACCATTTTTAATCCATTCAGCCAATCATTATGTCTGGCAGGAGCACTTTAGCTTAGCTTAGCAAAGATCATTGAATCGGATTAGACCGTTAGCATCTTGCTTTAAAAATGGGAATTGTTCATGCTTATTTCAGCTAAAATGTTAATTAGTGCTGTGGCAAATAAAAAGTTTTACCATTTTTGAATCCATTCAGCCAATCATTACGTTTAGCGGGAGCACTTTTTGCTTAGCTTAGATCATTGAATCAGATTAGACCGTTAGCATCTCACTTTAAAAATGAGAATTGTTTATGCTTATTTCAGCTAACATGTTAATTAGTGCTGTTGCAAAAAAAGTCTTAATTTTTGAATCCTTTTTATGATGATCACTAGGTCTTGTGGTAGCACTTTTAGCTTAGCTTAGCTTAGCATAAATTATTGAACTAGATTAGACCGTTAGTATCTTGCTTTAAAAATGGGAATTGTTCATGCTTATTTCAGCTAACATGTTAATCAGTGCTGTTGCAAATAAAAATTTTTACCAATTTTGAATCCAGTCAGCCAGTCATTATGTCTGGCGGGAACACTTTTAGCTTAGCTTAGCATAGATCATTGAATCAGATTAGACCGTTAGCATCTCACTATAAAAATGTGATTGTTTATGTTTATTTCAGCTAACATGTTAATTAGTGCTGTTGCAAAAAAGTCCTAATTTTTGAATCCATTTAGATGATCGCTAGGTCTGGTGGGAGCACTTTTAGCTTAGCTAAGCATAAATCATTGAATTAGATTAGACCGTTAGCATCTTGCTTAAAAAATGGGAATTGTTTATGCTCATTTCAGCTCACATGTTAATTAGTGCTGTTGCAATTAAAGTCTTATATTTGAATCCATTCAGCCGATCGCTAGCTCTTGTGGGTGCACTTTTAGCCTAGCTTAGTATAGATCATTAAAATGGATTAAACCATTAGCACCTCACCTTGAAAATGGGAATTTTTTGTGCTTATTTCAGCTAACATTAGTTGATTAATAAAAATTACAAGATTTTTTTAATTTTAAGATCACGTGTCTTCAGTAATTACGATGTTTATTTTGCTAGCTCTCATTGTTATTTTTATGGTAAATAATCAATCCGTGTAAGTTAATCCACTGAAAATGTGTTTGTTTTGGTCATCTTCAATCAAAATCTGATCATTTGCTTCCGTGTTTGGGGTTGAGATCCTTCTATTGATGTCAACCTGAGGGTTTCCATAGCAACTGCAAATGAATACCCTCACACCGTTAGTTTGCTATAAGGGAATGATGTGCAAAAGAAAGCCCCGCCCCCTACTCAATATTCCATTTCCGTTGGAAGCACATCAACATGCTGAAATATAAGTTTCATCAACTTTGGGTTCACATGGACTTTAAACACTTATTTGTTTTACTTCTGGAATCTCAAAATGAATGTCTTTTGTGTATTCTACTTTATAATTTTGATGCCTAACATAAAAATGAAGTGCATCACCATAACATGAGTATAGTTTCAGTTTTCCAAGGTGGAGTTTATGTTCTTTTTCAAGCCTTAGAAGCCAGACCTGGGAATCAAATGGTTTATTTCTGTGTTGTTTGCACTGTAAGGCTTGTGAAGAATGTCAACTCCACCTTGGAATGCTCCACTTTAAGTAACCGTTACTTTGAAAAGCTGCTTTGCTCTTGAATGCGTTCTCAAACAGTGTGACCTAAATAGCTCCATACAAATAAACTCCATAATGAAAATGAATACTTTATTTTATAGTCCTCCCCCTCTTATTATTTATATATATATATATATATATATATATATATATATATATATACTTTTTTTGTTTTTGTTTTTTGATACATGCATATATCTCTGTGGGCCTAAATATAAATATAATATAAATATTCATTATATATATATATATATATATATATATATATATATATATATATATATATATATATATATATATATATATATATATATATATATGGGAAAAGTCAGTTTTAGTAAACAAAGTCTGTTATTATGATATTTGTTGTTTAACACTTTAAACTACAGTTTAATTGAATAAATATACAACTTACAATTGACAATATACTTTAGATTTTTTTCTTCTCAAATTTAATTTGATTCCTGTTAAAAGGAAAAATGTGTCCTTAAGGCTTAGTTTATTATTATTATTACTATTATTATTATTATTACTATTATTATTATTAATGATGATATTATTAATATTATTAATGATATTATTATTATTATTATTATTATTATTATTATATTATATTATTTTCTATTATTACTTATATAATTATTATTAATAATTATATTATAATAATTATTATTATGATTATTAATATTATTACTGATATTATTAGTATTATTATTAATCATATTATTATTATTTTTATAATTAAGTATATTGTTGTTGTTGTTGTTGTTGCTGTTGTTATTATTAATTATATTATTATTGTTAATATTAATATTTGTAGTAGTAGTAGTAGTAGTAGTAGTAGTAGTAGTATCATTATTGTTTATATTATTAAAATTAATTTTTATTATTATTATTATTATTATTATTATTATTAATTATATTATTATTATTATTATTATTATTATTGATATTATTAATTGTATTATTATTGATATTAATATTATTATGATTATAATAATTATTATTATTAATAGTATTATTGGTAATATTATTATTATTATAAAAAAAAAATAATTTGGTTGTGATTTTTGATGTTTGATTGTATTTTTTAATACTCTTGCATGTACATTATGAATGTATGAATTTAAAAACATCGTACCTTAACTTTACATTCATAACACTTGTTTTATGATGTGTTTATGATGTCTCCAGTCAGTGAACTAGTTCTGCTACATTGAATATTTCCCTCATGAAATGCCTGTTGTCCTGCAGGAGCTGGACCTCAGAGGGTCTGCATGAGGAGCGGTCGTGGCCTGTGCTTAGTGAGCGGTGTGTAGAGGAGGAAGAGGAGACCTCTACCCTTCAGCACAGCCTCCACAAGCTGAAGCAGCAGCTGGCGACGGAGCGAGCCCGACGGGTGGAGGCAGAGCGAGAGACTGAGCTGACTGTTCTGGAGAACAGTGCTCTGGAGGACCGCCTGAGCCTGCTGGAGGGAGCCCGCCGCAGACAGGTACAGCCTCCACCCGTTAGCGCATTAGCTTGGGCAACCTAAAAATATGTCTTTTTTTTTTTCGATTCGGACGTTTAGAAATGAAACTTAAGAGACAGATGATGTTTAATTTTACTGGTGATTCCAAATATGTAATGAGATCTTAAGCTTTGATGAATTTGATGTTTCTCCGCTCAGACAGAATGCCTGAGCATACTGCCCGAGAGGCGTTTCAAAGATGGCCGCCGAGTGAAATGGCTTCCCTTAAAAGAGACTTTGGTTGTTATTAGTGCTGCCAATCGATTAAAAAAAATTAACTAATTAATCGCACCTTTTTAAAAAAATTCATCGCGATTAATCGCATTTAAAATACTGAAACTTGTAATTTTGGCTATTCAAATGTAAAATTAATGTAAACGCAAGACAAAAACTATTTAAATTTAAAATATAATTGTTTATTAGAATTAAAATTCAAAATATAATTGTTTATTAGAATTTTTGTTTAACTTGTAACACAGATTTCTTCACGTAAACAACATACCCACAATAAACCATCAAGATCCTGGCTTGACAGGATCCCTCCTACCTCTTCAGGTAGCCTATGTCGCACCACTCACCCCCACCGTCCTTCAGGTACGTCTCGAGCGCACACGCCCCTACTCAGATATGTCGCTCACTCCACCCCTGACACCCTTCAACCGGCCTGACACAGACACACACACAACGCGCTGCAGACGTTTTGGCCCCAACGGCCTTCCATACTGGAGCGACTCCCCTCAGATTCAACACGCATGATCACGTTCATCAAATTTGCCTAAACTAAGCGTCCTAAAGTATTACTGTATTTCACAAGGATTCTGACACAACATCGTGAAGCATACGCTTTTGTTGCGTTTAATGAGGAAACATGCTAAACTTGGAGGGTTCATGCTGAAAGGCAGAGTAATGCCCTGTCTTTGACAGCTCGCGACTTCATCAGAGACTTTCTGAGTACATTCGCATAAGACACCAATACTCCGATTTTAATATGATTAAGATAATACTCTTATTAAAATTCTACCGTGTAGCCTAAGCAGTGATTTTATTACCTTAAAGCAACACCGAGTCACGAAATGCGGAGGATTTTCTTTCTGTTCGCCATGCGGTATCAACTTACAACAGATGTCGAAAGTTAAAAATGAAACACCCGAAATTGCATGAAACTCTGGAGAGCCTGGTTATGCGACTAATTGTTTTATACTGAAACTTGCCTTCAAAAAGTGGTTCCTTGGTCTTATCCACATTTCTTGCATGTTGAACACACGTCCACCACAACAGGAAGTAAAAAAAACCTGCAACTGCGTAAATTTATTTTAACCCGTTAATTCAGGGGTGTCCAAACTTTTTGGGCCGAGGGCCAGAAGCAAAAAAAAAAAAAAGTTATTCCCGGGCCATATATTAAATACATTACACAGACACGTGCATATATATATATATATATATATATGTGTGTGTGTGTGTGTGTGTGTGTGTGTGTGTGTGTGTGTGTGAATATGTATATGTGTATATATGTATGTATGTATGTATGTAGCCTGTGTGTGTGTGTGTTATAGAATTATTTTAATTTGTTATTTTAATTCATCGTCCAACTGTGTTTCTAGAAAGACTTTCGTTTTTAAAATCTTGAATCTTCTCTGGGCAAATTACACTTGCAACACTCCTCCCTTATAAATTCTCCTTCAGTGAAAGGTTTCCTGTGCTGTGCGATTAGCTGGGCTACATCATAACTAGCCAGCGTAGAATTTTCTTGCACTTTATTAGCACGAAAAAAAACTGCTGTTGTTGAGCTGATAAGCCAGCTGCTATTTGTTTTACTTTTTGATCTCGTTCGGCACCAGTGTAAGAGCTGAAAGCCTGATGATTTATTTTATAATGTCTTTTAATATTATATTCCTTCATTACTGTAACTGATTCCTGGCAAATTAAACAGACACATTTCCCGCTGACCTCTGTGAAGAAATATTCTTTGCCCCATCCTGACTGAAATTTCCTGCACTCACTGTTGATTTTCCTTGTTCTTGCTTGTGCCATGGCTCGCCTAAACCTGATTATGAATTATGTTTCTTTCAGTTTGTTGTTCGGTCCGTTTTACTTCATAACAGGAACTGCTGCCTAATTGAAGGCATGTAATAGCGACACCCGGTGGTTATTTATTGAATTACACACATTTTTGTATAGTGGGCCAGTTTCTATAAAATATTCATAAAAAGCCTTGCGGGCCGCCACAAAACTGATCGCGGGCCGCAGATGGCCCGCGGGCCGTAGTTTGGACACCCCTGCGTTAATTATTTAAAATTAATCGCATGCGTTAGCGCACTAATTTTGACAGCGCTAGTTGTTATATAACATTCCGCCCAATAAAACAAGCTATCATCCATACTTGCATGATACATGCTGCCTTTGTTTGCACTCAGTGATGTTGAATTTGAAATGAAATGAAACAAAAACATGTGGTTGTTGCATAGGCTAATGATGTTTTCTGCAAATGACCAAAGTATTTTTATGAGCTGAAAGGCAGAATGCGAGTGTTTTCATCAAGCTCGACATTATATAACAGTTTCAGGTTGGGTTTTAGTGTTTGTAACATGTGACACACATTGTGACATGCGGTTTCACTTTTGACAGGCGGAGCTGGAGGCCGAGGTGGAGGAGCTGCGTCTGCTGTGGCGCTCCGAGTCTTCCAGCTCCAGACTGACCGACACGCTGCTGCCTGACAGTGTTTTCTTCAGTGCAGAGGAGCGGCTGGGGGTGGAGCCTGAATGTGAGGAGGAGGCGGAGTTTCCTCAGGGGCGCTGCCGCTGCAGCAGTGATAGTTACGTCAGAGGAGCTCGAGCGGAGGAGATCCGGCGTGGACACGAGCGCTCCTGCATTCGCAGAGCTCAGGCCGTCAAGCAGCGCGGCATCTCTCTGCTCAATGAGGTGGACGCTCAGTACAGCGCCCTGCAGCTCAAATACGAGGAGCTGCTGCGCCGCTGCCAGCACGGGGCCAACAGCCTCAGCCATAAAGCCGTCCAGACGCCCAAATCCCAGAGCTGCTCCGCCACAGACACCGCCTGCCTCTCCGACCAGCTCCATCAGCCCGAGTACAAAGCCCTGTTCAAAGAGATCTTCACCTGCATTCAGAAGACCAAAGAGGACCTGAGTGAGAACAGGGCTTTGCAGGCCCAGTAAGGTGTGGCTGTTTTAAAGGGGGAGTTCACCCAAAATTCTGATGAAATTCTGTCACCATTTACTCATCATTTGCTTGTTGCAAAACGGTTTGGGTTTCTTTCCTCTGTTGAACACTAAGGAAGATGAACTGAAGAGTGCTGAACAGAAAAGAGGATATCTTGAAGAATGCTGGGAAAACATCCATTGACATCCATAGTATTTGTTTGTTCCTACTATGGATGCCAATGGCTGCTTTTTCCCAACATTTTTCTTGTTTTGCGTTCAACAGAAGAAGCACTTGAGTAAATTATGAGTAAATGGTCATTGTTTTTGGGTGATCTGTCCCTTTAAGTTGAGTGTAGTGACTTTGCACTTGCTAATGTGATTTAACAGTGTGTTTGTGTGTGTGTCTATTGCACTATAACAGCTGTGCCTATACACAGTATACAACACCAAACCGTCCACATCCAGAACCTGAATGGTCTGAATGGGGTTTTTCTACTTTTATACGTCTTACTCTAATGAACGACACACACAAGCTGTGTGAATCAGCCATACCAGACGCCTGAGATACATCAGGTTTGGAGGAAGACTATTGTTATTAGTACTAACAACTACATAACACAGTTATGGAACTAACTTGATGTACATGATATACCATAATATTGGTGAACCTCACACAAGCTGCTAAAATGAGGTTTTACATCGAAAAATACAACAAAAACAACAAAAAAGCAATTGACATTGTAAATTTGAGCCAGTTTTTTAGGAAAATTTAACGTTTTTGTTGTTGTGTTTGAAATTACACGTTATCTTCATGACGAATGCCCCTAGTGCTGTGGCAATCATTTGGAGGAATGGATTTTACGATTGCGAAGTGCATTTCTATTCTATCTTGAATCGGCTCTGAGCTTAGTTTTCAACAGCAGATGGCACTCTAGGCTAGTATTTAGCAGCAGACAGGCTAGCTATAGCAACACACGGCATTCTGGACTAATTTTGAAAAGCCTAGAGCACCCTCTAATGTTAAAAATTAGCCTACATTTCCCATCTATTGTTAAAAACTAGCCTAAATCGCTGTCTAATTTTACAAACTAGCCTATCTGCTATAGCCAAAATTGCCATTTAATGTTAAAAACTAGCAAATGCTGTTAAAAACTAGCCTAAATCGCCATCTTATGTTAAGAATTAGCCTAAAGCCCCTTCTATTGTTTACAACTAGCCTAAATCGCTGTCTAATGTCAAAAACTAGCCATCTGCCGTTAAACAAGCCTAGAGTCCAATCTATTGTTAAAAAAATAGCCTAAGTTGCCATTGCTAATGTTAAAACTAGCCTATCTAATGTTAAAAACTAGCCTAGATCGCAGTCTGCTGTAAAACAAATTGCCTAGAGTGCCATCTACTGTTTAAAAAAAATTAGTCTAGAGTGCCTTCTACTGTTAATCTAACATTAAAAAACTAGCCTAGAGTGCCATCTAGTGTTAAAAATTAGCCTAGAGCACCACCTAATGATTAAAAACTAGCATAGAGCACCATGTTTTTTAAAAACTAGCCTAGAGTGCCATCTAATGATTAAACACTAGCCTAGAGTACCATCTAATGTTAAAAAACTAGCTTAGAGTCCCATCTATTGTTAAAAACTAGCATAAATTGCTATTTTTTAAAACTAGCCTAGCTGCTGTTAAAAGCTAGCTTAAATTGCCATTAAATGTTAAAATCCAGCCTAAAGCCCCCTCTATTGATAACAACTAGCCTAAATCGCAGTCTAATGTTAAAAACTAGCCGATCTTCTGTTAAACAAGACTAGAGCACCATCTAATACTAAAAACTAACCTAAAGTTCAAACTATTGTTATAAAAATGCCTAAATTGCTATTGCTAATGTTAAAAACTAGCCTATCTGATGTTAAAAACTAGCCTAGAGCGTCATCTGCTGTTAAACACTAAGCTCAAAGTTGATTCAATCGAGAATAATGCATTTAGAAAATCTTAGAATGGGTTTCTCCAATTTTTTGCAACAGCTTTATATCCCCAATTCTATTTGCATATTTAAAAAAATAATAATCTAAATGCCATTACATTAATGCACAAATTAAATTTGTAAAAAAAAAAAATATCTGAGAAGTATTTAATGCGCTAATTTAAAATCTAAGATTGTGCGAGAAAACACTGTTACAGGAATAATAGTAATAAAAAAAAATTGACAAGCTTTTTATAACGGAATATGAACCAGATATTCTTTTATGAGAGTCATTTGATAAACATTAGAAATATATACGTATATAAACAAAATGGAATTCAGTAGGACCGTGTATGTAGCCTTAGATTTTAAGTGTCTAGACATTTCACATGCAATACTTATTAACTTATAATAGAAAATGCTGCATGTGATTTCGATGACGTTACTAACGGTGATCTCTTGTATTCGAGCAATACTGTTTGCTGTTTTGCTGCTTCTTTACCTCAGTGCTTTGATATGCTAGCGGAATCAGCTCCTGTCAATGTAAACGATATGCTTGAAAATCTGTGTAAATAGTTTGTTCGGATCAAATCGTGGCTCTGCGTTCGCAAACACACTCACTCTAGCTAATAGTCTCAAGCACTTTTTGTTTTGGCGTTCATGTAAACACCACTGTGATACTATGCACTTTAGACAGACCTGTGGTCAGTTTTTGGATTTTTGAGTTACGTTTTTATTTATTTATTGTTTTCATTTAGTGTCGAGAGGTTTTATTTATGTTCTTGTTTGCCGTTCGTTTACTGTTTTCAGATTTATTTATTTTTTTTCTCTCCTGTGCTTAGGATCAGCAGTAGAAAGTTCAGTTTGATGGACATGAATGTGTTTGTTTTGAGCATAGACGGATATTGAAAGTGACTACACTGTAAAAAAAATCTCTTAATTAACAGTTTCCATGTTTTTTTTTTTTTGTTTTTTTTACAGTTGTGAATTGCATTGTGGGATGTTGATCTCTGCTCTGTCTAATTTTATTGTTAAATTCAACAGCAGACTGCACTCTAAATAGGCTAGTATTTAACTGCAGATAGACAAGATTGTAGCATGAGGTGATGCTCTAGGCTAGTATTTAACTGCAGATAGGCTAGTTTTTAGCATAAGACGATGCTCTAGGCTAGTATTTAATGCATATAGGCTAGTTTTTAGCATAAGACGATGCTCTAGGCTAGTATTTAATTGCATATAGGCTAGTTTTTAGCATCAGACGATGCTCTAGGCTAGTATTTAACTGCAGATAGGCTAGTTTTTAGCATCAGACGATGTCTAACAAACCATTTGTAAGGACGTCACCTGCTGTTAAAAACAACTAGCTTAGATCACAGTCTGCTGGAAAAAAACAAACCCAATAGCACCATCTACTGGTAATCTACTGTTAAAAAAGTAGCCTAGAATGCCATCTTGTTAAAAACTAGCCTAGATCACCATCTAATGGGTAAAAACTAGCCTAAATTGCTATCTAATCTTAAAAACTAGCCTAGATCGCAGTCTGCTGTAAAAAACAAAAAAAAACAATAGCTCCATCTACTGGTAATCTACTGTTAAAAAAACTAGCCTAGATCACCATCTAATGTTAAAAGCTAGCCTAGATCACCATCTAGTGTTAAAAACTACTAACCTAGATCACCATCTAGTGTTAAAAACTAGCCTAGAACGCCATCTAATGTTAAAAACTAGCCTAGATCGCTGTTTGCTGTAAAAAAAAAAAAAAGTACCCTAGAGCCCCATCTACTGGTAATCTACTGTTAAAAAAATTGCCTAGAATGCCATCTAGTGTTAAAAACTAGCCTAGATTACCAACTGATGTAAAAAACTAGCCTAGAGCACCATCTAGTGTTTAAAACTAGCCTAGATCACCATCTAATAATAAAATCTAACCGAGAGCGCCATCTAATGTTAAAAACCTAGATCGCAGTCTGCTGTAATAAAGTCCATCTACTGTATACAACTAGCCTAGAGCGCCATCTAGTGTTTAAAACTAGCCTAGATCACCATCTAATATTAAAATCTAGCCTAGAGCGCCATCTAATGGTAAACTAACCTAGATCGCAGTCTGCTGTAAAGAAAATAGCTTAGAGAACCGTCTATTGTTAAAAAAAAACTAGCCTAGAGCGCCATCTACTGTTAAAAAAAGCTAGCCTAGAGCACCATCTAGTGGTAAAAACTAACCTAGAGCGCCATCTAGTGTTAAAAACTAGTGTAGATCACTACCTAATGGCAGTTTATTACAATGTATTAGTAGCAATACAAAACAATATATGACCTTAAACTATTAAAGATGTCAATAAAAGTCACTTTTTCAAACTTTTCAATGTTAAAAGTTGTTGGAAGAAAGATCAAGATCTCATAAAGCAATTCAAAAGCAGAAATAAACATGGAAAAGAATAAAAACATGAATTACAAAATACAAAAAAATGCTAATTAATGGATGTTTTTTTTACAGTGTAGCATGAAATAGTTTGTGGTTTAATAGTTCCACAATACCCGATTATTACTGGCTTATGTGTTTGGTAACACATAACACTGCTCATGTGATATTTAATACGTAACTCAGATCTTTTTGAGTACATAAATACCTTGAGTTGATTGTGTAAACAAGCTGTTTTCCATCGACGTATAGCGTCAGACAGCTAGGATAGTGACAGACTGGATATACGGAAAGTGTTTTTGATTTGACCCATTCCTTTAGTCACAGGGAGGTGTTTATAGATTGTAGATTGTTTTATGAGGGATGAAAAAAGTGGTGTTTTGCATTTCTGAGCTTATCGCTTCAGTGTTATGAATGCTGTTTCCCAACCCTGTTCCTGAAGACGCACCAACAGTATTTTGGATGTCTCCCTTATCTGACCCATTCAGGTTTTGGAGTCTCTTCTAATGTTCTGATGATGTGGTTGATTAGGGAGAGCTTGAAAATGTGTACTGTTGATGTGTCTTCAGGAACACTGTTGGGAAACACTGGTTTTGGAAAATGGTGCTACTGTTCCGCAGCCGTCCTTCAGCTATATAAGTGATTTTTGGCATTAAACTCCTGTCATTATTTTCATACACCATCCAAGCTTTTGTAGGATGATGTGCTTCTCGGTCAGCGATGTGTTGGAAAGCATGATCAGATGATAGCGTGCAGCGGAAAAATACAGCTCTTGATTTTGTAATATTATTAAAATAAAGCATTCAGCAGTGTTCATTAAAGTGTTAAAGTGGTTAAATTACCAAATGTAGACCAAGTTTGGGATTGTCTTGTAATAATACCTACCTTGCTGGGAAAACAATCAAATTTCTGGTGACGACGACCACGTTAGTATTTGTTGACGATATTAAATCGGTTACCTCCTCCATCCAGAGTTGATTGTTTCAGCCATCCTGGAACCGGAGTTCAATGTTTTAAGTAAAAGAATAGTTTTCTACATTATTTATTATTATTATTATTAGCGGTTGATGATTGTAAAATTTGACATGCGTAGTGAAGGAATGCACAATCTGATTATTACTGGTGCTGAATATGCGCGGTTCTTCTTAGAAATACTGCAGTGTAGACTAGACCCAATGCCTTTCTGAAGATCTCTGATCGCTGTGTGTGTGTAACAGCATGACTAACATTGAACTTGGGTTACCAAAAAGCCTGGAAATAAAACTGTATGGATGAACCGATTACAGTTGTGCTGTGTTTATTTCATGGTGGCTAGTGGTGTATAGGGATCGCAAGTCTCACGGTTTGGATCACATTAGGGTTTTTTTTTTCAAAACAGCCAAAAAGGGGGAGGAGACGGATGTAATTTGCTTTCCATTTGTTACAAAAACAGTAGTGCAAGACAATTTTGGTTTTACCCAATAGAACTTAAAATAAAGAAATAGTCAGCTAAATAAAAATAAAAAAAGTGTAAAATATTCAGCATTGTGAAAATGTCACTGTTACTACTACTACTGTTTCTAATGATGCTAAATGTATTAATCTAACATAATTTGTAGAACCCATTTTTATTTTTAGTCTCATTTTCAATAAATGATTCAGTTCTTCACTCATAAAACTTTGTTTCATTGCGAGATGTGTAATTTTTGAAGAATTATTCTGTGGCATTTTTTGATGGCTGGTTGTCGCCATCTATAGGGTATTGACCTTATTCTAAAATGCGGAAGTGCTCCTGTTTGTCCAAACTTCCGTTTGGGAGAAATGACAAGGAATAATAAACGGCAAAAAAACGGTCAAACTACTTGCTCTACAAACAAATGTTTGCATGACTGTACAGACCAAGTAGAATAATATAACAAGGAAATATCAGTTTGCAACATCAAACAGCGAAACTAGCAGTTTTTAATGTCTAAAAATAAATGGAAGTGAATGAGACCGGAAGTCTCGTGGCAAAAAGATTCAAATGGCAGCGCCCGCTCGTCTGCGGAGAATAAGGTCAATACGCCGAGCTAGTGCTGTTCCCATGCTGATACACTTCCGGTGACCTGTTATTGTGAACTTTTTTCCATTTTATACGGTTCCTTATACAGCATCGATGTTGTAATGTCGTTAAAATACATTCAGTTAAATAAAC